CTCTCTCTCTCCCCTCCTCAGGTGGATGTGATAGTGACCACAGCAGGCGGCGTGGAGGAGGACCTGATCAAGTGTCTTGCTCCGACCTTCCTGGGGGAGTTCAGCCTGCCGGGCAGAGAGCTGAGGGAGAGGGGCATCAACCGGTCTGTACTGTTTGCCCGCACGCTCTGACCTTGTGTCCCGTGCAGCCATGTCGAGATCGGGCAGAAGAGCTAACAGACCCACCCTGCCTTTCTCTGCCCTGCTGTCCAGGATCGGGAACCTGCTGGTGCCCAACGAGAACTACTGTCGCTTTGAGGACTGGCTGATGCCCATTCTGGACCAGATGGTGCTGGAGCAGAAGACCGAGGTTGGGGCTGCAGTGCGCTGCTGTGTTCCTCTCTCACCCCTCCGCTGTCCCCTCCTCTCCCCGCCAGAGCTGCACCTCAGGGCCTGAGGTCTCCCTGTGTCTCTTTCTCACTCGCCTTCCCTTGACTCCCTCTGCGTCCCAGGGCACACACTGGACCCCCTCCAAGATGATACATCGACTTGGCAAGGAGATCAACAACCCTGACTCTGTTTATTACTGGGCCTACAAGGTGAGTGACCCCAACCCTAAACCTTACCCTAACGCAGATGACCCCAATACCCGACTGCCCTTCCCTGATACCCCGCTGCCTGTCCCAGATACCTGACTGACCCTGATATCTGACTGATTGATACCTGACTACACTGATCTCAATACCCGACTAACCCTGATACCTAACTGACCAACTCTGATGTCTAAGTGCCAGACACCTGATACCTGACTGACTGATACTTGACCAGCCCTGACTGCCTTTCACACCTGATGCACCTTCTCTCGGATCTCGGCTGGACATAATTCCCTCTGTCTTTCAGAATAATATTCCGGTGTTTAGCCCGGCCCTCACAGACGGCTCCCTGGGGGACATGATCTACTTCCACTCCTACAAGAATCCGGGGCTGGTGCTGGACATCGTGGAGGGTCTGTCCGTCCCTGAGTGTCTGTGTCCTGCTGTGGGTCTTTGTCTCTCTCACTCCAGCTTGTCCTGATGCTCCATTTGTGTTGTCTGCAGATATCCGGAGGCTGAACAGTCTGGCAGTGTTTGCCAAACGCACAGGGATGATCATCCTGGGAGGAGGACTGGTCAAGCACCACATCGCCAATGCCAACCTCATGGTAACACACACCCCTACACCCCTTAGTGCCAACCTTATGGTAACACACACATCTGCACCCCTACACACACAGTGGTAACACATACATCTGCACACACACAGTACCAACCTCATGGTAACTCACACCTACACCTCTCAGTGCCAACTTCATGGTAAGAGACACACATCTGCACCCCCACACACACAGTGCCAACCTCGTGGTAGCACACAGTGCCAACCTCATTGTAATACGCACATCTGCATACATACAGTACCAAACTCATGGTAAAACACACCCCTGCATCCCTCAGTGCCAACCTCATGGTAACACACGCACACACAGTGCTCACCTCTTGGTAGCACTCACACAGTGCCTGTGGGTGATGTTCTAGTATTGTAGTGTCTGTGGCGCGTCCCCATGACCTGCACCCCCCTCTCTCTCTCCAGAGGAACGGTGCCGATTTCTCAGTGTTTGTGAACACCGGTCAGGAGTTCGATGGCTCGGACTCGGGCGCCCGGCCAGATGAGGCCGTGTCCTGGGGCAAAATCCGTCTGGACGCCAAGCCGGTTAAGGTACAGAGACCCTGGTGCTGTCCGTCAGCTGCTGCTCTTCTGACATGCATGTATCAAACTGGTTCTGCACTGTAGTAATACAGTTCGACACTTGGTCCACTGGCGTTACCGTGACAATGTGCTTTTCGCTGTGTTACACTGCAGGTCTATGCTGATGCAACTCTAGTGTTCCCCCTGCTAGTGGCTGAGACCTTTGCACGCCATGCAGACAGGCTGACTGCCCCGAGGAAGGAGGACTGAAGCCAGCCTTTCACTCCCCCTCCCCCTCAGCCTCATCCTTCCCAAGAGAGGTTCCCGCCTGGCTGATGACCAGCTCTTCATCACCTGTCAGTCTTTTATTTTGTAACAGTGTTTTAAAGATGATGGGTTTTACTGGTGTTATATTGGCGTCTTGCATAGTAGGTGTATATATGGACTTGGGTCAAAGCACTGCTCTGTTTTTAGACTTTCTGTATATCTGACTATGCAGTATGTATCAGGGCAAGAGACAACAGTGCTGGGTTTACTGAACCTTCACTGCTATCAGTGTTCTAAAGTGACTTTATAGGAAAAAAAAAATAGCAGAAGGGCTCAAAATTGATGTAGTTGCATTTTTCCCTTTATGCATGTTGAATCTGGCAAGTGCAGTCTGTCTCCCTCTGGTGGCCACTGTGCCACCCTGCAGCTGCCTCTTCTCAAGCTGCATGGTCTTGCTTTCCAGTTCTCAGTGAGTGAGCAGCTGTGCTATCTGCTTTAGCAAAGAACAAGGTGCTTCACGGTAGGGAGATCCTTCAGTATATACCTGTTCAGAAAATTAAATGTATATTTAAATGTAATATTTTTATTCCAAATCTTCAGATACATTTTCCAATCTGAATACAATTCAAGGAAAATTAAAAAAGTACAAGTGTTTTTGGTCATTTATTAATATTTTAATGAGCTAAGATGGCAGAAATGCCCTGAGACTCTCAGAAATATGTCTGTGGGACAGAAAAACAGGTGATTGTTACAGCAGTACATATGCAAAACTATGTGTATCACCACATCACACTAGGGCTCAATGTGGGAAGCAGAACTTTTTTTAAAAATCACATGGTCGGGGTCTGTGATACAGGGCCATGTCGCTGAGAGCAGTATAAACATGCCTGTAAAAGTGGGTTCTGTGACCTGTGATAGAGGTGTGAGTCATGGCTGCTGCTGCTGCAGCACACAGACAGAAGAGGGACGCATTTGCCTCAGGCATGACCAGCACTGCCTGGAGGGGGGGGGGGACAGCAAAGAGAAGGTCTACATTAAGCTTGCCTGACAGTCCTGTTCCAATAGGGGCTACAGTCCCAGTGCAGTAGGACAGTCCTGTT